AGGCATAATCCATTATCATAGATAGCATTATTATTATTATTATGCATATTAAGCCACACCTCTCTAGCTCTTAACAGTTAGCACCGAGGTTAACACAATGCATAACGCTTCAAAGCTCTGGCTCTATCTTGTTGCTTGTTATGTTTTCTTGGTTACAACATGTCCTTCTTTTCTTCCTTTCAACCTTTCTTTGCTTCTATATGCAGCTACTGTATTCTACTGACTGCTCTAACTGTCTCAGATGTAACAGGTAATTTTTTAGAATCACTTTTGCACTTTCCTTTATGTTTCCAGGTACCTGTACAGAAGGCAGTGTGACATTATTTGGTAGTACAAGAGAATATGAAGGACTAGTATCAGTTTGTTATAATGACACCTGGTCTGTACTGTGTGCTGGTACTGACAGCAGGTGGAATGTAGACACTGCCACCATTGTATGTAGATCACTGAACTATAAAGGAGCTGGCAGTAAGTATTTGTACATGATCTGTAATTCTTATTAATTTGCTATTATTTTTGCATAATTTTTAATGGCTATTTAGTATAATATTGTTCATTACATCTGTAATTCTTTATGTACAAACTAGAATCATAATAAAATGGCTGAATGTGCAAAAATTAAATAATCACAACTCTTCTTCATTGAATCATTACTCAAGTTCTATTTCTCTACTCTCTCTCTCTCTCTCTCTCTCTCTCTCTCTCTCTCTCTCTCTCTCTCTCTCTCTCTCTCTCTCTCTAGTTATATTAAAGGATCATGGCTGGTCCAATGGCACTTCTTCATCATTACCAGCTGTCCAGTTCACCTCCTCTCAGTGCACTGGTGGAGCTGCTAGCAGTATCACTGATTGTGCTAGTTTTGAGTCCATTACTTATTGTCCTACACATCAATACAGTGCAGTACTCTGCAGCAGTAAGACATCAATATAATGACAGTATATTAATCAGTTTATTATTGAAATTATTATACTATAATTATGTGTATATTATAATATTTTTATTTTATTTATTTCATAGATCCAGATGTTACTGCAGCTGCTAATGGAGATACTGCTTTATTTAGTTTCCTGTCAGCTAGTAATTTAGGATTACTGCTAATCTATTACAATGGTAGTTATGGTACTGTCTGTGATGATGAATTCTCAATGAATGAAGTTCAAGTGTTGTGTACTGAGCTGG